ATCAACTTGACGTATTTCTTTCAATTTTGCATTTAAAAAACCTGAACACCCCTCATTTTGAAGGTGTGTGTGTGTAGAATGTTGCTCCTATTTTGATTTTGGAATTCATTCTTCAGTTGTCAAAATGCCGTCCAAGCAAGAAGAGCAGCGTATCAAAATTTTGCTCGCGCATCGCGAAAATCCGAGCTACTCGCACGCAAAGTTGGCAAAATCGCTAAAAGTAGCCAAATCAACCGTTACAAATGTAATTAAAGTGTTTGGGGAACGTTTGTCGACAGCCAGGAAGTCTGGATCGGGGGGAAATCGAAAACCGGAAGCCGCTGAGACGACAAAGAGAGTTGCCGGTAGTTTCAAGCGAAACCCTAACCTCTCTCTCCGAGATGCCGCAAATAAGCTGGGTGTATCGTCTACAACCGTGCATCGAGCCAAAAAACGAGCAGGACTATCGACTTTCAAGAAGGTAGTGACTCCAAATCGCGATGATAAACAAAATACGACGGCCAAAGCGCGATCCCGGAGGCTGTACACGACGATGCTGACGAAGTTTGACTGCGTGGTAATGGACGACGAAACCTACGTCAAAGCCGACTACAAACAGCTTCCGGGACAGGAGTTTTATACGGCAAAAGGAAGGGGAAAGGTAGCAGATGTTTTCAAGCACATGAAACTGTCAAAGTTCGCAAAGAAATATCTGGTTTGGCAAGCCATCTGTACCTGTGGCTTGAAAAGCAGCATTTTCATAGCTTCCGGGACTGTCAACCAAGAAATTCACGTGAAAGAGTGTTTGAATAAACGTCTGCTGCCTTTCCTGAAGAAACACGGTTGTTCCGTACTGTTTTGGCCGGATTTGGCATCTTGCCATTACGGTAAAAAGGCCATGGAGTGGTACGCCGCCAACAACGTGCAGGTGGTTCCCAAGGACAAGAACCCTCCCAACACGCCAGAGCTCCGCCCAATTGAGAAATACTGGGCTATTGTCAAGCGGAACCTAAAGAAGACCCAAAAAACTGCTAAGGGCGAGCAGCAGTTCAAGGCAAACTGGCTTTCTGCGGCGAAGAAGGTGGACAAGGTGGCTGTACAAAATCTGATGGCAGGGGTCAAGCGTAAGGCCCGGCAATTCGGATTTGGAAAAGCGGAAGCCTAACTGAATATTTTTCCTGAATTTTATACTAATTGAACTTGAAAAAGAAATTTAATTTGATTTTTTAAATAAACGATTTCACCAATTTACACGCGTTTTCCCTTGACCAAATTTTGACCGTATCACCCTTTAGTGACTATAATAAATAAAAAAAAAGAATGAGAGAGTTCTGAACTAATATGAACATCACCCGGAAGACCGCGGTCATCTGAACAACTTTGCTGAAGACAGTAACCTTCTACATGGCCACGAGCTCGGGATACAGCTTATACAGGAAGTTCATATGTACACTGGCGACGAGTAGTGTGAGAGTTCTGAACTAATATGGTCACTAGACTGATGCAAAATTTGACTTTTTCGCTCCACAGTACTTAAATGGTTTCAAATCGGGTCCTGATTAGCCTCCCAAAGTTACAACTCACTTGGTTAGAAACAGACTTCGCACAAGCCATTTAAAGTTTACATGTAAATTACTATGGGAAATCTCAACTTTTTGTTCATTGCCCTCTAGTCTTTTTCCATATTGAGCTGAGAAACAGATCGATAGCCAGTCTTATAGAAAAGCTCAGTTACAACTTTGCTCAAGATCGTTTCTATGTAAAACGAGACAGGAAAAAGTTATTAATTATTTAAGAGATTGGTAAACTTATGACATGATCAAGCAGCTACTCTGTAGGCAACACTGTATTTTGCAGTGACATAGTAGCCATGATTTTTGTGTCCTATTCAACGCCCCAGAAGCACCAATGCTGCCTGCTGAGCAGGTGATTGAGCATGATCATAAGACATCAGCGCATTGAACCATTGATAACTTTCGATCCTTGCATTTAATCAAAAAGTCTTCAGCAAAGTTGTAGCTGGGAAAATTTCCTACAAGCAAAGTTAAAAGCTTTTGAAGTAGACCGATATGGTGAATTATTAGATAGACATGAACGAAAATCTTGGTTTTACCATAGTAATTCCCACACAAACTTTAAATGGTTTGTGCCATCTCAGTTTCTCACCAAATGGGTTCAAATTTTGAGAGGTTAGTCAGGATTCGATTTGGAATCGTTTAAGTATTGTGGAGCGAAAATTTCAAATTTTGCATAACTCTACTCTCCATTTTGTTTGTTTGCGTTGGCGTAGGTTTGCGTCAACATGGCCTTACAAGGTTTGTTTACAAAATGGAGTTGTTGGTCTTGAAGTAATAAAAGTGAAGTGCCTTTAGCGGCGTAGTTCCCTATTAAACTTGAAGCAAATGGCACAGGCTTGTTCCTCTAACCCAGTACAATAACTTTGTCGAAGACAGTATAGCTTTATATATGTTGATACAAATGAGATAATCCACCACAGCCCCTATTAGTGAAAATCCCATAAGCTGTGGGTATCCTTATTCGCGGTTCCTTATTCACGCCCCCGTTACCCCGGCAATAAGGATTCCTGACTGTATAATGCCATACGGTGGTCAGTTTTACGGAAGTCATAAGAAACCGCTGCAGGATGTTCGTCGAAATCACGAACGAGTTTGTCCTCAACAGTGACGATCAGAGGAGGATGGTGCGGAACTCGTAAGGACGACAAGGAGCCGTGGAAATGAGAGACAGAGGTTCAAACTACGGTTGATTTCGTTAACTAAATGGTTAATTTGAGACAGTGTTGCAGCTCCTGCTATCAGGATCTGGATAGAGAAATCCGCTATGGGATGGTCTCCTCGAAACGCCTGGCAGATTGAAGTCGCACATTTCCCATAGTTTCCTATTTTATCGCACCAAATCTTCCGCATTCAGAGTTGAAAATGGACGATCCCACTCTTGCCCCTGTGTACACACCAAATTTAAGTTTTGAACTTACCTTCAACTAACAAAACAGCGAGCAAACAACAAATCTCGATTACTTTTTCGAAGGGACGTATCAGCTTTTGTAAACAATGCATTTGATCGTCGATTTGGTGTAACTGGTAGCTCACCCACGCATGCGTACACTGCCATCAGATAGGGGACATTTTTCCCTACCTGATAGTGGTGTTAGAATGCGTGGGCGAGCTATCAGTTACGCCAAACCGATGGTCAAATGAATTGTTTACAAAAGCTGATACGTCCCTTCGAAAAAGTAATCGAGAAATATAGGTTAAATCGAATCAATCCCCAACAGCAAACGATAGCAAGCCATATAAAAAGTCTGCCACTTATATGCATCTGACTGAAGAATCAATTTGTTTTGATTTGTTTACTTCTCATTGTCTTTCAAAAAACCCCGCAAAAACATGTCTTTCAAAAAGTGATTTCGAATTGTCTTTTTCTGATTCAAAATTGTGGCAAAATTATTCAAAGTGATGCAGCTTAGATCCGGTATAAAACAAAATGTACAATACCGGTGCAGCAGTGTTTTTGTATTTGTTCTAAAAAAATAGACTAAAACCACGATTTGTACCGCCGGTGAAGATACCCTAAGATCAATAGAGAAATGAATCCTCTTAAGCAATTTTCTATATAAATTCCCACAGCTCCTGGCACTGCATATAATAAGTCTTCCGGACTCTTCCAGGGTCCGTGGAATTCTGAACTTTTCTAAAACAAATGCCCTGGCAACAGTGGTTAAGATCTCCAAGTTTTTTTTCTTCAACGACAATGCGCGAGTCATGTGATTCCCCATCCACCGTCCGAAGATTCTCAAGATCGCTTCCATTCTTCGGCAGACCATCACCATCAGTTCACAGTTTTTATTATTTATTTGTTTTTATCCACAAATGTACGCAAATGCTTTCCTCACCCTTTTATGACGGCGAGGTCCTTTATTTCGCACTGTCGAGACTCATCGAGACCTGTTCCGTTGGATAGTTGGCTACAAGAGAGGCACCCTTCACATTCGAACAATCGAGCAGCGTGCAGTCAGTAGCTATAGCCGGGATCTCTTGTTTAGGCGCGACACAGGATCAACCGGAGTGTCCTTTTAAACTTTTTTTTTTCTTTCTTCTCTGTGTGTTGATGTTGCTGCTGATGCTGCTCCTTGGAATAACAACAAAACCAAGGCAGTAGCAGAAAAGAAGAACGACAGTAGGAGCAGCACAAGAAGTGAGTGGTGCTAAAAGGAAAATGAATTTATTACGTCCTCACCCGGGAGGAGATAACGTGTTTGTATATGCGTTCTATTTAGTGCACTGTGGGAAAATTTGCTGTGATTACCGGATGAAATATTAAAATCGTTCTTCTACATATTCTAGAAATTACAATCCTGCTTTCAATAAATAGTGAATTTAAAATTGAATCAATTTCACATTTTGACCGTTATTCAACCGTTTACACCAGTGTGCGCGAGCGCTAGATTGCACAGCAGGAGCTCCGCGGGTAGCCTGGTTTCCACCCAGAAAGAAAAGATGGATCATATATCCATGAATAAGATTCCGCGAGAAGCGCAACATTTGCCAACATCTCCCGAACGTCTGTGAATGGCCATACAAAGGGACGACGGGAGCCGAGCTAGAAAGAGAGACATATGCCACGTTGTCCGACGATCAGGGCTCACTTTAATGATATATGACAGTGTGTAAATAGGGTAAATCAGATTGCGGTTTGGGGATTTGAGTTGACCAGATTAGTATTGCACTAACATCGGTCGCGAGCAGAGCTACTCGGGGACACGTAACAGCAGGAGTGAACACGAAAGGATATTGAACTTTGTTTCCGTTTGTCCGCCGGAGAGACAGAGAGGAAATTTCGCCGCGCATTGACCGCATTGTGATTTGATGAAAGCTGACCCGTGATCGCGCAAAAATGCTGCTGGACAGTCGAACGTTCCTGCCCATACCTGCCCTGCCGGCGGGTTCCTCCTTCACTTCTTTACTATCGTACTACAATCGTTCCTCTATGTTTTCTTTCAGAATCAACAACCGACACCACCATCATCCACGTGTTCCGGCCGGCGGAGATCACCACCAGTCGATGCCCGGTCCACACATGCCATTGCAGGGCTCTAGGAAACCTCCGTCACAGCACTATGGCACCTCCAATGGCATGACACACGGCGGCGGCGGCGGCGGCATGGGATCGAAACATCAGCACTCTGGAATGGGCCATCCTCCGAAGACGCTACCGTACAGCAGCAGCAGCAGCACCAGCAACAGCAGTAGTCACCAACATCAGCAGCATCACCACCAACAGCACAATCATCACAGCCATCACCACACGGGACACCACAACTCGGCTGCGATTCCGGTAGTGTCGGCCGCCGGTCCCGGGGCGTCCAAGGCTCGCATGATTCCATCGCATGAACGTGAGTAGTACCTACGGTGTAGTTTGTTTGAGTGTTGTACGAATATAGTGTGGAGCCTGTGAAATCAGTGGATATTAGTGTGGGACATTGCAGTCAAGCTCAATTATTGAAATTTATTGATGGCCTTCTTCAGTGCATGACGAGAGTGTCGGAAAGGTCAACCGTTGAGAAGAGGTTGGAGGGATTTGTTGTCTCAGTGCGATAGGATAAATAGCTCAACTGTGAGTAGAAGACATGGATTAGCAGTCATTTCGGTATGTTCATCTTCTTAAGGGATCTTCCGAGAGGCTTTTCAGTGCTGGCGCGGCATACAATGCCAGAGATTGACGAGGGTCCGATTGCAAGTCTGGTCATGATTTTTTTTCAGTTCTCAATTAACAACTGTGAAGACCTTAACGAACATTACGTCGAAATTAGAACCACATTGAGACTGGGAGTCTTTAAAAATATGGAAGAATGTCGAGTACCTTGGAGTGAAGGTTCAATTCCTGTTCCAGCAGACTGAACTTTTCGTAAAACGATATTTTCTAACTGGTCTACTGGGTGATATGTTGGATAACTCGGCTCTGTAAAGTTTATTCGATTGAGCCTGTACAAATAAAGTAATTAATAAAAAAAATACTGGGTGATATGTGTTGCTAAGTGCTAAATTTGTGCAAACACTGGTAGAAGACTGTGCCAGTTGTCTTGTAAAATTGATAACACCAGATATACTCCGGATCTCCTTTTTCCGGGTAATAGATAGGACAAATGGACCTCATATAGCCTAGTAAGTAGAGGCACGGTATTACCGGCGGCAGGGTGGCCACTAGACTGATGCAAATTTTGACATTTTCGCTCCACAGTGCTCAAATTATTAGTCTCCTGATTAGTCTCCCAAAATTTGAACTCATTTGAAAAGAAACTGACTTGGCACAAACCATTTGAAGTTTATATGGAAATTACTATGGGAAATCCAAACTTTGTGTTCATTGTCTTTTTACTTTTTTCCATACTATACTGTTCAAAAATTCAAAAGCTATTCTTATGGAAAATTTTCTCTGCTTCAACTTAGCAGAATATAGTTGTTGAGCCAAACGTCAAATAAAATAGTTATTAATTGTTTAGGAGATTGATAATCTTATGGCATGATCAAGCAGCTGTTTTGTAAGCAACACTGTATCTTGCAGTTTGACATAGTAGCCATGATTTGTGTGCGCCAGAAACACCAATGTTGCCTGCTGAACAGTTGATTGAGCATAATCGTAAGACATTAGTGACTTGAATTATTGATAACTTTTGATGCTTACATTATATTGAAATGTAGTTCAGGACAAAGTTGTAGCTGATAAAATTTTCTACGAGCTCAGTTATTATTTTTTAAAGCAGAGCAATATGGTAAATTGTTAGATGGATATGGTTTATTTTAGTTTTATTTTGGTTTTATTTGGTTTTCCTATAGTAATTTCCATATAAACTTCAAATGGTTTGTGCCAAGTCAGTTTCTTATCGAATGAGTTCAAATTTTGGGAGACTAATCAGGACCCGATTTGAAACCGTTTGAGCACTATGGAGCGAAAATGTCAAAATTTGCATCAGTCTAGTGGCCCCTCAACTGGGCATTAACAGGGATTCGAATTTTGTTGTATACCTATACCTATTTTGGTTACAATCATGTTAACTTACTTTGACTATATGTTTTGTATTACTTCTGCGTGAAGTCAACGATTTACATAGTTGAAGATGCTAATTTCAAATAACAGAATAAAGTGGTAATTTTTATATGATAGATGAGGAGATGAAAGTATAGAGTTGATAGTTCCGTTAGAGTACGGCAGTGTGAAAATTGTATATAGAGAGTAGAAAGCCAGCAAGGACAACTTTTTATGAAGGTACAAATCGATGTGATCATCTCTCTTTACCAAACTCCCCCGTTGAAGTGGCCCCCCCACTGGCAAAAAAGAGATGATCGCCGACTCGCTTATGTACCGACGATGTGGTTGAAACAGTTCTATCGATTTTACCGCTCTCAAGTTGTTATCTGAAGGAAGGCATCCAGGCAACACTTAACTTAAAGACTTAAACTTAAACTACCTTGAAAATTCGGACTAACCGGACAATCCTCAGGGAATTTTATTTTTTCCTGGAAAAACCTGGAATTCTTGAGGAATTTTGAAATTCTCGTATCATAATCAAGCAATTCTTAACATTTTATAATATAACCAACTATATCTTCCACGTTTTTCTTTTTTAGCCATTGAACATAATACTTCTGGAGTGGATTAAACTTCAGTAACAACATACATTCTGAAAATTGAATTGTTTTTTAGCTTTAAAATAGCTGTAACTTTGTAACGAGATATGATAGAGACATGAATTTTCTTACTTTTCCTAATTTTCGGAAACGAACATTTTGCTTTCAAAAAAAGCTTTCAGCTAGAGAGGGTCTAGTACACGGTTAGAAAAAAGTACCCAAAATTAAGTTCTTTTCACTCATCTCGGTACTATAGTGCAGGAACCCAAAAGTAGGTAAAACGGGTCAAAGAAATTTTCATTTACTTGTGTGCAGTTCGTATGGAATTTTCCACTGGCTTTTTAACCAAAAGTAAGTTAGTTGTACCCAACAGTAGGTAAATATGATTATACTCAACGTTGGGTTCCCACACTTTACTACCCCTGTTGGGTGGTTTTGCTCCTTTGTTTTTGACAACATTAGAAGGAGAAAAGGAGACAAACTAGTCAAAAGTAGGTAAAAGTGAACTGGCCGTTGGGTACTTTTTTCTTACCGTGTGTAAGAGAGGGCCGGGCTGGCTGATTTTGAGCTAAACGAACTGTCAAAGCCCAGAGCCTATGTTGAATCTTGATTGCATTGGCAGTGTTGCTAGAAATCATCTTGACATAGGTTGCCACGACAGTTTGTTTTCAATCCGCTCCTTTCTCTTATACTAGACCCTCTCTACTTTCAGCGACCTCTAGGAGTGGCGCTACAAAAAAGTGACATTAGGGTCTAAAAAGACCCAGACTGCAACACGCTCCCAATAAAAAACCAATTCTTGATCTATTGGCCTCAAAAGAAAAATAAAGGTTCCCTGAAAGGCACCCTGCCCAGGATTTCCCCAATTTGGCCATTTAGGATATCTGGCACCGGTTCCGATAGGACACAAATGGATACATTCAAAATCTCATGTACTGATACCGAATTCTTCTGCTTCTTCCTCACATTTCAAGCTTATTGCATATCGTATATTAGCTTATTGCGTGCTCTCAACTTAGGTGCACTTCCACAGTTATTAATTAAGTACAATCATACTCTATGCCCAGGGAAGTCGAGAAATTTTCCAGCCCGGATAGTTCCTAGATCGGACCGGGAATCGAACCCAGCCACACCTCCAGCATGGTATTGCTTTGTAGCTGCGCCTCTACCGACTGGTTCCGTCCGACTACTCAAAATTTATGATTTTACAACCAGAAGTAAAGAGACATCATGCCACGAACACACAAGTAGATCTAATCACATCTGGATACCCGGAACTGGTTCCGGCAGGGCCTCAAATAGAACACTTCCAAAACCTCATGTACTGGTACCGTCCGACGACTCAAAATGTATGATTTTTTATCCAGAAGTAAATAAACATCATGTCATGGACCGAAATTTGGATCTGGACACTTCTGGATGCACGGAACCGGTTCCGGTAGGACCCCCAATAGTAAATAGACATCATGCAACAAACAAACAGGTGGATTTGGCCACATCCGGATATCCAGAACTGGTTCCGGCATGGCCTCAAATAGAACAATTCCAAAACCTACTGTACTGGTACCTTCCGACAACTCAAAATTTATGATTTTTCATCCAGAAGTAAATGCCATGGACCGAAAGGTGGATCTGGTCACATATGGATACCCGAAACAGGTTCCGGCACGGCTCAAAAAACAAACACTTTCAAATACTCACGTACTGAATAGTCATTATGCCATGAACTAACAGGAGGATCTGGCCTCTTCTGGATACCCGAATCCGGTTCCGGCAGGGCTCCAGAAAGGTAACTTCCAAAACCTCATGTACTGGTACAGTCCGACGGCTCAAAATTAATGATTTTTCATCCAGAAATAAATAGACATCATGCCATGGGCTAACAGGTGGATCTGACCTTTGCTTTGTAGCTGTGCCTTTACCGACTGGTACCGTCCGACTACTCAAAATTTATGATTTTACAACCAGAAGTAAAGAGACATCATCCCACGAACACACAGGTGGATTTGGCCACATCTGGATACCCGGAACTGGTTCCGGTAGGGCCTCAAATAGAACACTTCCAAAACCTCATGTAATGGTACCGTCCGACAGCTCAAAATTTATGTTTTTTGATCTAGAAGTAAATGCCATGGACCGAAAGGTGGATCTGGCCACATCTGGATACCCGGAACTGGTTCCGGCACGACCCAAAAAACAAGCACTTTCAAATCCTCACGAACTGGTACCGTCCGACGACTCAAAAAGTATGATTTTTTATCCAAAAGTAAATAGACTTCATGCCATGGACTAACAGGAGAATCTGGCCTCTTCTGGATACCCAAATCCCGTGACTACAGGGCTCCAGAAAGGTTACTTCCAAAACCTCATGTACTAGTACCGTCCAACGGCTCAAAATTCATATTTTTTGTCCAGAAGTAAATAGACATCATGCCACGAATAAACATGTGGATCTGGCCACATCCGATACCCAGATCCGATTCTGGCAGGACCCCAAATAGGACACATCCTAAGCCTCATGTACTGGTACCGTCCGACAGCTCAACATTTATGATTTTTCATCCAGAAGTAAATAGTCATCATACCATGGACCAACATGTGGATCTGGCTACATCCGGATACCCGGAATCGGTTCCGAGCGGCGCCAAAAAGAACACATCCTAAGCCTTATGTACTGGTACCGTCCGACGGCTCAAAATTTATGATTCTTCATTCAAAAGTAAATACACATAATGCCACGAACAAACAGGTGGATGTGGTCACATTC